CCGCGCGGGTCCAGCCGCTTTTATAAAGCCCGGCCCTCTGACCCCCCTCCCCTTCCCGCTCTCTCCTCCCCCCTCGTGGGCTGGGAGGGGATGGGGCGGGACGCTGGCAGCCCCGAGAGTGGAGAGAGCTGTACAGAGCCCCGTGACAAGCCCGAACGCTGTCAAGACAAGCGGGGGACCCAAGCCGGGTGGAGGGAGGCAAGTGCAGGAGTCGGCCCTCTGGCACCGGCACCAGCCCTCCCTGCTTCGCTGGTTCAGATTCCAGTTGCCCATCTCCTCCTGCATGTTCCTGGGCAAGTCACTTCGCGGGTCAGTCAGTTCCCTCGTGTAGCGAAATGTGTGTGATAAAAGGAACTGCCCCTTAGGCCTTTATTACAGCCCCGGGCGAGCCAGAAAGTCAATGCCAAAGGCACATGTTTTCCTTCCCTTCTGCCCACAATCCCCCAACTGTCTCTGGGGACGTAAAGGGCCCTGGAACCTCTCCCACGGGGTCCAAGCAAGTCCACACAGGCTGCTGGAATCACCCCAGAGGGTTTGGCATTTGCTGGGGAACTGTGAATTTGTGTGTGTGAACCTTTGGAGCTAGGTTCTCTGAACAATAACACCCCTGCCCCCATCTCCCTCTGAAGATCTACTGCCTTCCCAGCTCCTAGGACAGGGCAGAATAGGTGCTTGCTACCTTTTGGTTGTCAAACTGATCACAGAGGAAAGCAGAAGCAATAATGACTAACGTCCACGGAATAGGTATTGAGTGACAAGCGCTCATGCCCAACTTGCATTTCAGATCTTGCTTCCCAGGATGTCGTCAGCGTGGCTTAAATAAACTCTAATAAAAATTCTCCAGAAGAAAAGAAAGAAACAGAATGTCTCCCTTCCTGGGAACCCCTCCAGTCCCAGGCAAACCAGAACGTTGGGCTCCCTAGATCATGAACCCATTTAGCTTCTGAGCCTGTGAGGTGGGCACTATCGTTAACCCTCCTCAGGCAACGAAAGGTAAAGGCCATCCTGTGGCCTCTACTGGGGAACCCATGGACTCACTGTTCATGGAAAGTGGGAGGTGGGTGGTCATAGCCCAGTAGCTAAAAGCTTAGACTCTTGTGTCTGACCGCCCAGGGTTCAAATCCTAGGCTATAAATTCTTAGTACCAAGTCTTGGACTCCTCACGTAAGCAGCTCTGAGCCTCAATTTCCTCATTCTAAAAGGGAAACGATAAGCTTATTGCAAGAATAAACAAGCATAGTGCATGTGCTGGGCATGACGCATGGCACACCATTAGCACCACGTAAATGCTAGCTGTTATGATTAGGGGACAGACAGCAAGCAAGGCAGAACGGGTGTAAGAGAACGTGCTAAGGCTATCCAGAGGAGGAAGCACTGGAAAGTCCGTTTGAACTCTAGTAACCCTCGCCCTTCCTGGAGGAAACCTGGTGGATGTTAGTTTTCTTTTCTCTCATTAAATGCAGTGCAAGCTCTGTCTTTGTGTCATTGTTCTCTCGTATAAGATCTTATCCCTTGCAACTGACTGTCCCCCCTGCAGCTCCAGCGGGCTATAAATGTAGCTATGTAACCTTGTACCAATGGTTTAACCTCTTCGGGCCTCTGTTTCCTCATCTGGATTGCTTGTGAGCATTAAATGAGTTAATGCATTTAAAGGGCTTACTAAGCACCTAGTGTTGAGTAAGGGCTCAAAAAAATGTTAGCTACAGCCCAGCCAGTGTGGCTCAGTGGTTGAGTATTGACCCATGAACCAGGATGTCAAGGTTCAATTCCAGTTGGGGCACATGCCTGGGTTTAGGGCTTGATTTCCAGTGTGGGGAGTGCAGGAGGCAGCCAACCAATGATCCTTTCTCATCATTGATGTTTCTATCCTTCTCTCCCTCTCCCTTCTTCTCTCTGAAATCAATAAAAAAATTTTTTTAAATGTTAGCTATAATCATTAGCATCATTAGCCATCATCCACCCAGTGGCTTTCCATCACACTTGGAATAAACTCCTTCTTCCTTGCCCTGACTTCCCGGCATGTGATAGGGCCTACCCCGTCTCACCTGGCACCACTATCGCCCGTTTTCATTCTGCTCCAGGCACCCTGGCCTTTGGTTCCTTGAACACGCAGTTGGAGTTATTCCTGTGCACAGCCTTTGCATTTGCTGCTCCTGCTGCTTGGAATGCTTTTCCACCTAATCATCCCACAGCTCGCCCCTTGTCCTTTTGGTCTCAGCTTAAATGGCGCTTCTTCAGAGAGGTCCTCCCTGCCTACTTAGAAGTTACTCTCAATCATATCAGCTTGGTTTATTTCCTTCATAGATCTTGTTACGATTTAATATTGGTTTATTAAGTTACTGGCTAATGGAGACATTGTCTCCGGAGAGCTGGGATCTGAGTCTCTATTTATTCCCAGTGTCTAGAACAGGGCCTGGCACAGAGCCGGTTCTGAGTATGTGCTGAGTGACTGGACTGGTTTGGGGCCCTCAAAGGTCCCTGGGAGCAGGTGAAACCTACACAAGCCTGGGATTCTTTTTCAACTCCTGCACCTTGCCAGTCCTAGTCCAGCTGACTCTAACAGCCCTGGCCTGGGCCGGGGGACCGCAAGGTACAGTCACTGGCCTTGATTCCAGGAACTTGCCTACTCAGTCTGCCTCTCTCCCTTATTTGGGTTTTTCTGTTCTCCCAAAACTTTGCCTGAGGATGGAGAGATCGGACTCTCCAAATCCCTTTCCACTTTCACTCCTGGCTTCGGAGAGGGAAGGGGAGACGTCCCTCAAAGGGACAGGAAAGAAAGCCTTTTGTTGTGCAGACAGCACAGGGATATCGAAAACAAAGAAACAACCAAAAACAGGATACAAAGCAGCAAGGAGTTCTAGAACCAGACAGACCTGGCTCCGTCCAGTCCCAGGCAAACTGTCACTTTCTAGAACAGAGGTCAGCAAGCTCTTCCCGCGAAGGGCCAGAGAGCATGCGTTAGGTTTTGCAGGCCCTACAGTCTCTGTCACAGCTGCCCACTCTGCCACTGCAGCGTGGAGGCAGCTCTCAGCAATACTGAAGTGAACGCCCTGTTCGCTGGATTCAGCCAATGGGCTGTTTGCCACTCCCTGTTCTAGAGTAAATGAAAAAGTAAATCTCTTTTTTCTTTTTAACAAAAAATATTTTACTAAAACACAAGATTTACAGAAGTTTCCAGACAAGCCATATAAAACGGTCACAAACTCTTCTTGAAGGGAGGGTTCCACATTTGACAGCAAAGTCACAGTGTGATTGGTGAGGGCCCTGGTGTTTGTTTAATGTTCCCATTTTTGGTTCAAACAATCAAGCTTGTTCATCTACAGCGTCTAAATAAAGTGAGACTTGGTTAGGGCCTCTTGTGAAGAACTGGTTAGCTGCTTTTAACCAATGCAATCAGATCACCATAAACGGGGGGAAAGGAGCTCATAAAAGTAAAATTAAACGACTTCCTCCCTCAAAACAACAATTAAATAAAGAAAAACACCCACCCCCTGCAGCTAGCCCTGGCAGCCCCCTTCATTCTCAGTGCTTTCTACTAAACCACGATGGGGCGGGGGGCGGGGGGGGGATGAATAAGAGCAGAGAGGGGTCACTGCTTGTAAACACTTCACAGCAATCCAGAGGGCACTTCTAGCGCCTGCTCGTGCGTTATAACAGTGAGTCAGGACAAGACCTAGATTTGCTAATGTGCACTTAGTCACCAAAGGACTGAAGATGTCTGGGCTTTGATTCTGTAATGTTTCTAAGACTGTGTCCATTAAATGCAAACAAAAAAGGAGGAAATTTTGGCAGAACAGAAGTGATGCACACGTGATGATCGGATCGATTTAAATATGTTCCATGGCATATAGCCCTAGTCCCCGCTCCGCTGCCCCTATGGCGTGGGCTCCGTTGGTCTTCCATTGCTCCGCCGCGTCGTTGGCTGTGGGGCCATCTGGATGGGGAGCACTGAGCACAGCCTGGGTGAATGGCATGAATCTGCAGTGCTGGGACCACTTATCTTTCAAAACATCTCAACGTGTTCTTCCCAACTTGTCTGCATTAGGATGTCAAATGTCGGTCCTGCTTTGACGTGCTTTAGGTGCTGCCATCGGGCATTCTTCAGGAAGGAATATCTCAAGTTTAAAAGCCCCTCCCTCGAAGGGGGAATCCTGGGGGCCGTAATGACCACATGAAAATAAAGGGCGTTGCTCTCATCTGGTTCTGCTTTAATTCCAGGAACTGGCTCTGCCAGCAAACGCCAGGCTTCCTTGGTAACCCTGCGGGCAGCCTGGTCATCTTGTCAGATCCCAGCTTTGGCCTCTGACCTCAGAAGGATCTCTTGCTCTGGCTGGTGTGGCTCAGTAGTTTGGAGCAAAGTCCCATGCACTGAACGGTTGTGGGTTCAATTCCCTGGCAGGGCACAGACCCAGGTTGTGGGTTTGGTCCCCTGTTGGGGTGCCTGTGAGAGGCAGCTAATCGCGTGTGAGAGACAGCTATTCTCTTTCTCTCTCTCTCTCTCTCTCTCTCTCTCTCTCTCTCCCTCTCCCTTTCCCTCTCCCTCCCCACCTCCCTCCCCTCTCCCTTCTTCTCTCTAATATCAGTAAACATATCCTCAGGTAACGATTTAAAAAAAGAATACATTAAAAGAAAAGTAAATATCTTTATGGGCCTCAGGTTTCACATCTGTGAGTGGAAATGATCTAGTGCCTGCCTACCTCTCTGGTAGGAAATTTTAATGTAATAAAGTATATAAAGTGCTGAACCTAGTACTTAGCACACCAAAGTGCTCAATAAATGTCTCTGGTTATTACTATTAACTAGTTTTGTGTGTTTTTTTCAATCCTCACCCCAGGATGTTTTTCTATTGCTTTTAGATGGAGTAGAATGGAGGGAGGGGAGAGAGATTGAGAGATAGACAGACAGACGGACAGACATGCATTGGTTGCCTCCTGCCTGCACCCCAACCTGGGCCTGGATGAAACTGCAACATAGGTATGTGCCTTTGACTGGGATAGAACCTGAGACCCTTCAGTGCACGGGCCATCACTCTAACCACTGAGCAACCTACCAGAGCTTAACTAGTTTTTTAACAACAAAAACTTTACAAATATTAATTCACTGAAATGTCATAACATCCTATAAGGTAGGTATCATCATCCCATTGTACAGACCAGAAAACTGAGACCCAGAGACATTAATTTGGCCAAGTCAGTCTGGCTCCAGAGCCCATGCTCTTAACCACTCCACTGGACTCTCTTCTTTAATGATCCCACTTAATCCTCAGCAATCCTTTTCGATAGCTATTATGGCCCTTGTTTTGCAGATTGGGAAACTGAGATAAAGCAGGAGGAAGTAGCTGGTCTCAGCAAGTAAACACAGTTCCACTGACCACAGGACAGCAAGTTGGATTTCTGCCCAAGATGTCAACATGCATCGCCTGGCTCCCCACTCCCTCGCCCTGTCCCCAGCTGTGTTTTCTTTGGATTTCTGCATGGCTTGGAGAAGCTGCGTCAGCCCATCTCCCATCCTGACCTTTCTCCCACCCCCAACACCCACCCTGGCCATCCCTCAGGAAGTGACCTCCACCCTCTCCCTCTGCCTGAGCCCATGAGCATTGCAATGCATGTACCTGTATTGGTCAGCATGGGTGAGCCTGGGCATCTGTAATAGGAGATCCAGTTAGAACTAGGGGCGGAGTGTGTGTGGGGAGGGGGCAGATTCGGACCAGGAGATTCTATCTCCCAAACAGGTGGAATGACCACTTGTTTCAAGAAAGCAAAGCAGCTGGACAGAACTGTCCCCTTGGGGGGGGGGGGGCAGACATTTACCAAATGGAGAGATGGGAAATAAAGGGCTATGGCTTTCTGAGTTCGGTTCGGAGCTGTTGACAGCTTTCTGTGGCGTCTAAACCTTGGAGACCTGGTCTTTTGCCTTCTCCCATTTCCCATTTGCCTTTTCCCATTTCCTCCTTGCAGATCAGTTCCTCTTTTCTGTCGAAGGAGACAGCCACCTGGTCCCCGAAGGCCCTTCCAGGTTTGAAACTCAAGAATTCTAATGCTTCTCACAGGGCGTGGCTTCCCCATTTCCTAGGTTCTTTTCAAGCCCTGCCCCTGGCATCTCTACCACTCAGCTCCCATGTTGATCTCCAGCAGCTCACTGGCCTCTCTGATTTCTTTCTCCTGTTTTCTTCACACTCCACCTGCCTCCCAGTTCCTATGCCCCTTGCGGCCTGCCTGCTAGCAGACTCTCACTCATGGGGCCCCTTTGGAGATGGCCCTCTAAGCCTCCCGTCTTTGTTTTTGAGTCATTCACTCAGCTGGGGCTCCCAGCCTCTCATTACTGCAGAGGAAGGGGCGGAAGGTCTGTAACAATGCTATCTAGATGTTCAGAAGCCAGTAATAACATTTCCAAGTAACAGGAAGGGAGGGAGCAGCAAGAGGTCTGACTTTTTCTTTTTTAAAAGTCTATATTTATTGATTTCAGAGAGAAAGGGAGAGAGAGAGCGAGATAGAAACATCAATGATGAGAGAGAATCATTGATCGGCTGCCTCCTGCACACCCCCCACTGGGGACTGAGCCCAAACCCTGGGCATATGCCTTGACTGGGAATAGAGCTGTGACCTCCTGGTTCACAGGTCAACACCCAATTACTGAGCCATGCCAGCTGGGCATGACTTTTTCTTTTGATAATAAGAATGGGCCACCATCTTCAGCCTGAGTGTGTGTGTGTCTCTCTCTCTCTCTTTTTTTTTTTTTTTTTGCAGGGCCTTCCTAACGACTGCAAGAAGCACCCAACACATTCCAGCATCTTGAAAATTTTTCCATGAGGCTCTAATACTACACAGATGCTGACATAAACAGACTTTGATCTGACAAGGACTGCCAGCCCTCCATGCAGGAATCATGAGGACACCTTAGCCCTCCAGTTTCCCTCCTCTCTTCACCCAGCTAGATCCATAATTCATCACCCCCTCCCACCCCACCCTCAGTACTAACTTCTGCTCCTCTCTGTTTTCTCCATCTCAGATCATGGCACACCCTCCACCCAGATGCTCGATTGAGTCAAAAACAATAAGAGTCATGTTTAACTCCTTTTTTCTTTCTACCACGTCAGTAAATAATTGTGTCTCCACCTCCCAAAGATGTCCCACATCTATACTTTCTCTCCCATTTGCACCAACACTAGCGCAGTGGTCGGCAAACTCATTAGTCAACAGAGCCAAATATCAACAGTACGATTGAAATTTCTTTTGAGAGCCAAATTTTTTTAACTTAAACTATATAGGTAGGTACATTGTTATTAACTTAATTCGGGTACTCCCAAGGCTTAGGAAGAGCCACACTCAAGCGGCCAACGAGCCGCGTGTGGATCGCGAGCCGCAGTTTCCCAACCACAGCGACTAGTGCAAGCCATTTTCATCTTTTACCTGGACAACTTGCCCCAACTCCCTGCCCCACTATTACCCCTATAGTTCTAGTCTTCCTGCACTAACCAAAGGCATCTTTAAAAATAGAAACTATAGCCGAAACTGGTTTGGCTCAGTGGATGGAGTGTTGGCCTGCAGACTGAAGGGTCCCAGGTTCGATTCCGGTCAAGGGCATGTACCTGGGTTGCAGGCACATCCCCAGTAGGAGGTGTGCAGGAGGCAGCTGATCGGTGTTTCTCTCTCATCGATGTTTCTGACTCTCTCTCTCCCTTCTTCTCTGTAAAAAATCAATAAAATATATTTAAAAAAATAAAAATAGAAACTATAGCATTTTACCACCCCTCTCAAAACCCTCCATTGCCCCCTCCTTCCATTGCGCACAAAAATAAAAGCTGGACTCTGGCCATGACCACTGAAAGGGTCTAGCTCCTCCCTCTTTACTACTCCACCCTTTACCTCTGTTTGGAAACCACCAAACTCACTCAGCCTCAAGCTTTCCATGAACGCTTCCCTCTCTATCAGATACATCTTCGCACGGAGATCTTTGCATAGTTAGCTTTCTTCATTCACTCAGATCTCTAAATGTAGGAGGTGTGCCCCCACCCAGAGCCTTCCAGCATCATTACCCGGCATTCTGTTCAACTCTGTTTTGTCTGCTGCTCCCAGGAGACTGTGAGCTTGCTGGGGTGGGAGCCTGACACTTCTCCATGGCTGTATCCCTACCCCCAGCACAGGGTCTGGTCCATGGGACATGCTGGTTATTATCTGCAGACCCTTTGAAAGGAAGAGATTGTATCCCAGACCGTGTGGCCCTGGCCTGATGATCCCCTGAGCCTCTAAGCTCCCTGTAGTTCCTGCTGGCACCACCATCTCCTCGCATTTCTCTGGGGTTATCTGCAGTTGGTCTGCAGCCAGGAATGTCATACTTTCTTAATCTCTTTCGGAGCCTGAACAATCCTAAAGTCTTGGGAGACACCCTTCCCCCTCAGCATCTCCGCTGGCTCCTCGCCGAAATCCCAGGCCCCTTCCTCTTGGGGCCCATCTGCGCGGGGCCTGTGCCTGTGGGTGTTGGGCGGCAGCTTGTTTCCCACCCCGAGCCCATATGCTTCCTGGGGTGGGAGAGGCTGCTGGCCAGCATGTGCTCCCCTAAGTGCCCGGAGGACAGAAATCAGACCTAAAGTTAGGCCACTGGTTCTCAACCCTTTGCACAGGCGCAGCTTTTAGGTAGGGCGGCTTTGGCTTTGTTCTGTTCTGTTTTGAATACCTATCCCTGGGCCCCGAACCCCAAGATTCTGGTTTAGTTGGTTGATGGAGCCCAGGTATCAGCGAGTGTTCTTCAGTGGGCCCTCGCTGGTGCACCAGGAGTTGTTCGTTGGGTTCCTCATGAAGGGCGCATGCCCGGGCTGCTGGCTCGGTCCCTGGTTGGGGGCGTGCAGGAGGCAGCTGATTGTTGTTGAGCACTCACATTGATGTTTCTCTCTAAAAAATCAATAAACTGTTCTTTTAAAAAAAAGCTCCTCAGCAGGACATAATAAAAAAGACCAACAATAACATGTATTGGCAAGAACCCTCATGCTCTACTGCTTGGAATGTTAAAATAGTGCAACGGGTTTGGAAAACATTGGGCAGTTCCTTATAAAGTTAAACATAAATTATTCTACAGCAATTCCACTCCAAGGTCCCGATAAGATGCCCCACCCTTATCCTGTATTGTCCACCCAACAAAAAGGAAAAGGTATGCCCACACAGACACTTGCACGTGAATGTTCATAGCAGCTTTATTTATAATAGTGCAAACAACCCAAATGTCCACCAGCTGGTAAACAGATAAACAAAATGCATATATCTATACAATGGAATACTGTCCAGCAGTATAAAAAGTATGAACTCCTGATACATGCTATGCACATGTATGAATTTCAAATACATTATGCAAAATAAAAGAGGCAAGACATGAAGACTACATTTTATATGATCTCATTCATAGGAAAGGTCTGCAAAGGCAATTCTATCAAGACAGAATGCAGTTAATGGTTAACCTGGGACGGTGGATGCAGAGGGGGGTTGACTGTAAACAGTCACAAGAGCTCTGGGTGATGGGAATCTAGAACTGAGTTGTGATGACTGCACAACTGTGTGAATTTACTCAAAATCACTGAACTGTCTTTTGGTGACAGCAAATCTAGTGGTATGCAAATTACATCCCAATAAAGCTGTTCAAAGGTTCTTCCCAGCCAGGGCTGAAATCTCTGGTTTAGAAGCCAAATGTCCTAGGAACCCCTCAACTGGGACCCAGCTCAGTTGGTATCCTCCCTCCAACCCCCACTAGGGCTCTAAGTCAACATTTCCTCTGATCTCAGAATTTCAGGAAGCTGCCAGCTGTCACCCTGACTTATTTTTTGAAGAAGTCTGAAATTTGAATCTGCTGACTCGGCTCATATGGGTGTAAACATCATGGTCCCTGGTCACTCTGCCCAAAATAGAAAAATGGGCGTCAGAGGGAGTGAGCAGGATGATGGCGGGACACTACAGGTGCCTCCACCCCGACCCTGAGATGTCCTGACCACCACCTGGAGAGGCTGAGCGCTAACCCAGGACAGAAACTGTATTGGGGTTCCAAGGCCCTGGTTTGACCTCTACCTCCTCCAGTCCTTGGCTGTGCTCAGGCTCACTCATTCTCCCAACATAGGGTACCTGTCCACACCTCCAGGATCTGGCGCAGGCTGCGTCCTCCCCATTCCTTGCCCCCTGGAAAATCCTATTCTTTCAGCAGGTTCAGCTCCCAGTCACCTCTTGTGAAGTCTTCTCCTATGCTTGCCCACCCCCTGGACAGACTCCCTGCAGCTAAGAGTTTATGTGTCTGCTTCTCCCACTCCCATGTGGACTCCCTGAGGGCGAACAGGCTGCCTTACTTAGCACTGGTTCTCAAGGTTCCAGGACACATTGGGCCCAGCCCAGCGAGAAAGTGAAAGGGAGCAGGACACCACATCAGACACTGACAGGGGCCGCAAGACCAGAGGAGACGCCCCATTCCCCTCATCTATTCGTGGCCTAAATGGCTTCTCTCATGTGGCCCCAGAATGGCCAGTGAGCCACTCCCTGTAGAAACCAGTGGGGGTGGAAGCCTCCCTTCCATCGCCTTCCTGGAGCCAGGCCCACTCCCTTTGGGAACTGCCTTCATGCAACTGCAACTGCAGAGCAGGGCCTACGGGTTGTATGGGGCTCAGGCAACCCGGACGGGGCAGCCTGGAGCAGGGTCATGCTGGTGCTCCCCTTCCACCCCGAGGATATGTGAAGATATGTGGTGGCCTCAGCCTGTACGTTTCTATTTCTGCTTTGTCCTGCATTGAGGCTGGCTCCCCGCCAGGACTGGCTATCGCTGGAGAAGCCCAGCTTTTCCAACCATCTCTCCCAACCCAGCCCTGCTGTCCAGAGAGGCTTCTTAGTCCAGAAAAGTTGACAGAGTGCTTGAAAGCCCCAGGATCGCTGCTCAACTGCTCACCCCCATTTCAGGAGTGGAGGATGCAGGGACTCTGCCAAACTGGGTAGCTCATGCTTTTCTTGGCATCCCAAAGGGCACTGCCTCGGTGTTCCCATCACAGAAACCAGAGCCTGGAATAGAAACGGGGGTACCCGAAAAGGTCACCCAGACTCAACCCAGTGTAGTCTGCCCACAGTCCACAAAGACTTAGTGTCAGGCATGGCACTGGGCCTGAGGCCAAAGGGGAACACTAGCCCCGGCCCTGCCCTTAAGCTGCCACATCCTAGCGGACGAAGGAAATGGACATAGCCCTGGCCCGTGTGGTACAGTTGGTTGGAGTATCGCCCCATGCACCGAAGGGTCTCAGGTTTAATTTCAAGTTAGGGCACATACCCGGTTGGGGCATGTACTGCAGGCAACCGATGAATATTACTCTCTCACGATGTTTTTGTCTCTGTCTCCCTCCTTCTCTTAAAAAAAAAAAAAAGGAACAGACACAGAGCACAGGTCGATATGGATATACAGAAGAGGGGACCTGCCCTAGCCTTGGTGGAGGTTAAGCTCAGGGAAGGCTGCCTGGTGGAGGTGACATGTAAGCTAAGACTCGAAGGCTGATTGAGACCGAGGAGAGTAAGAGCACATGCAAAGGCCCAGGTCAAGAGACAACCTGGTACACCGAGGTAGTTCAAGATGGCTGGGACTGGATGAAGGAGAGATGGCTTAAAGGTCTAGGTCGTGAATAACATGACTGTATGTGAACTGCTTGGCACAGCCCATCACAAACGCACTGCCATGGTATCTCCTTATAATTGTGACCTTGTGAGCCAAGTTTGGGACAATCCCGCCGTCACTGATGAGACACTCAAAGGTTTTAAGCCCAGGGTGACCTGATCAGATTTACAATATGATCAAACTTAACAAGAGCCCTGTGACCGCTAGGTGGATTATGCACTAGGAAAGAAGCAAGGTTGGAGGAACAGAAGACCAGTTGGGAGACTACCATAATAATTCAGAAGACAGATATGAGGTAGAAAGCTTCAAATACCCCCAATAGTAGAGTAGATGTCCAGTGGAAGACAGAATACAGCAATGAAAATGACCTAATCATAGCTACATGCAACAACATGGATGGGTCTTGCAAATACAATGTTGAGCAAAAGAAGGCACAAAATAGGACTGTATAATTCCACTCATATCAAGTTGAAGAAACGACAAAATTAGTGTTTAGGGTGCTTGCTTAGGTGACAAACCTGTAAACACAAGGAAGTGATTATCACAGAAATAGTGGGGAGACTGCCCCATTGGGGGATTCTGCTTGACAATAACTTGAGTGTTTACCCAGGTGTTCACTTTGTGACAAACACATTGTTTTACATTTGTCTTGTGCACACTTCTGTATGTGTGCTATTCTTTTCCTTTTTTTGACATGTTTATTGATTTAGAGAGGAGAGAAACATCGATTGGTTTACTCCCTCAGGCGTCCTAACTGGGGACTGAACCAGCAATTTAGATACATGCCCTGACTGGGCATCGAACCCATGACCTTTCCGTGTACAGGTCAAGGCTCCAACCAACTGAGCAACACCAGCTAGGGCTGTGTATATACTATTCTTGAAAAGAATTTAATTTTTAGAGAGAGAGGAGAAACATCAACATGAGTGGAACATCAATTGACTGCCTCCTGCAACCCTGGTACATGCCCTGACTGAATGGAACCTCCACCCTGCTGTATGGGGCAATACTCCAAACTGAGCCACTCCGCCTTGGGCTATCTGGGTGGGGCTATTTATTAAATATCGTTTTATTGATTTTAGAGAGGAAGAGAAACATCAACGATGTGCATCATTGATCGGCTACCTCCTGCACGCCCCCTACTGGGGATCGAGCCCGCAACCCCAGTTCGTACCCTGACCGGAATTAAACCGGGACCCTTCAGTCCGCAGACTGCCACTCTACCCACTGAGCCAAACTGGCTAGGGCGAGAATCCTAGCTCTTATTTACTATTCCTACTACTGCCTCCAGTTTTGACACTCCCAGCCTCACCAAGCTGCCTGGGGCCAGACACTATGGACACCAGAAAGGCTGCCCAGGTGGGTGTCTGCAGCCTCTGGCTCTACATGGGAAGCTCAAGTACAATAGCAGGCGGCCGTTTTGTCTTCCACTGCCGTCGGCTCACTTGAGACCAGAAGGTGGAGCCAGTGAGCCTGCGGGCCTCTATCAAAGAATTCCGTGGGGGCAGGTTTGAGGGCCGGACCTAGTAACCGCTAGTCTCCTGATGGTCCACCTTCTGTAGCTGGTTTGAGGTCTCAGTGAAGATTTGCAAAGCAACTAGTGGCCATGAACGTCAGTGTTGGCATGCCCCTCAGATGCATTTAGTAGACAATTCCTCAACTTTGTCCAAAGCCATTATTTTACAGTGTAAGATAAAAATGTTTTGATTTCAGAGAGGGAGAATAGAAATATCGATGAGAAACAGCAATCAGCTGCCTCCTGCACGCCCCCTACCGGGATCAAGCGCAACCCGGGCATGTGCTCTGACCCGGAACCCATGAACCTCCTGATTCGTGGGTAGACGGTAGACGCTCAACCACTGAGCAACACCGGCCGGGCTACAGTGTCAAATACTTTTATATAGAATTAGCCACCTGCAACCAGCAAAGCCATCTTTATTGTCTCCCACAGCTGTTCTTCTACTCTAGGGCACTTATAAGCTGTGCAGCCTCATTATGGGAGGTTCAATGTGCATGCCTCCTGGATATGGAAACAGAGGCCCAGAGAGGGCAAGCGACAGGCGGAAGTGGCAGAGCAGCACCGGGGCTAGGACCCCGTCCCATCGCGCTCAGAGCTACGTCACCAGGACTCCGCCCTCAGGCCGGCGCCTCTGTGGGTTTCCAACCCGCCCGCGCCCCCTGGTGCGCACACTCAATCCGCTCCCGCCGGCGCGCCGTCTACCCGGGTCCTTC